CTTGCTCGCCGGGGTCCAGAAATTTCCCGAAAATTTTGGGGCTGGGGCGCTCCGAGGCGTGACGTTTTGCTGGTTGTTTTAATTCCCGCTCGAAATTTTTATTCAACTACAGAAAATCTTATAAAAATCTATTCAACATATTTAATCTGTATTTCTATATTTTCAGAATCTTTTTCGTATAGATTTCATAAAAATAATGTTAATCATATCTATCTTGGAAATATGACGAAGATCGATATAATTTCGAATCTCTAAATTCGATCCATCTTGTATCTAATCTTAAAGTCTATTTCATTGTAGGCTCTAAGTTTGAAGCAGAGCATAAACCGTCTTCCTGATTTCCCGCACCCCACCTACAGCCAGGGGGCGGCATCCTAGATCATGAAGTGTAGCACTACGACTGTCGCATTATTCTTTATGATCATAATTTCGGAAGTTTAGCCCCACTCCTCACAACTTATTTTTTGGAAGTAGTCATTTATGAATTTTGGATATGTGTGATGGAGCTTCGGCACTTTAACAATCATCGGCCATGGAAGTTCTAATCTTGGACGAAGACTGACGAAGATGATTACTACGTTGATGGATTCATGGCAATGATGTCTCAATTGAGATCTTCACGGACGTTTTCCACCTAGTTCGGCGAGACGTTATCAGAGTCCATGTCGGCTTCGAGTCGCAGACCTGAGACATTGCTGGGAATTCAGGTTGTGAAGAATTGCGCTTGGCTTCTCAGCCTGGACGGAGCACCCAGTTGAGAGCGACCTGGCCAGTGTCGGGAGTCCATCCACTACAAGCACGGCTGAACATGGCGGCTTAACGTTGTACGTGCTGTTGGAGTCGAAGTACGAAGAGGAGATATAGAAATGCAAATGCTCCTGCGGCCGGCCGGCTTCAGCGTGTGGTAGGACATCGTGCATGCAGTGTGAAGCACATGGCTTGGACTCAGCTTTCCGCGGTCAGACAAACGTCGCAACAAAACGTGGAATGCCCTGTGTCCTCCGCCGAAGCATCGAAACTCACCTCTAGCAGAGCCTCGGCAGGCTGTTCGGGCCTCGGTCAGATGCCAAGGCGATACAAGCAAGGATAAATTCCAAACTGAACAGGCAAAGAGAGGTGAGGCGTCGGCGGCTCTGAGTTGACTCCCTCGGGCTGGTACACGGAGAGGCTGCAGCGGCAAATGCCACAGGGGCCTGGCCATCAACTCCTCTGGAGGGCCACTTCTCAGTCTTACTCTCAGGACGAACGGTATTGCAAGCTGAGAAACATGCCGGCAGCCACTGGGAGCCTGGACTTTCAGCTGAAGCTCGAACTCTACCTCGGTGGGAGAACCTGCCAACGCTTGATGAGCTTCTTTGCATGGTGAGCTGTGGAATACGTGGAGAGATCCAGCCTCCTAGACACACCTCCCCGCATTGTCCATAAAGCTCCTCCACATCGTAGATGGAACTTCTCCTGCCACGGTTGATTCAAAGCAGGATCTCCATGGCGACTCTCATCTGCTCATGCCAACAGGTAAAACACTGTCTCAACACGGCCCCGGTTCGCCCTTTGATGGGTCTCCACCGATTCTAAGCCTATGCTCACATCGCAGGTACCTCAATTCCTTGAACACGGTACCACATAGTGACAAAGTATCAGTAAGACTTGTCAGGAGGGCTCTCGCTGACCGATGCGGATGCCGTGGCGCATGTGCCCACTAATCACCGCGCATACAACCTCAGAGCACTTCACAGCTTGGAGAAAGCACTAGATTGAACTACAGCACTGAGGCCGGTGCCTTGTGCTCAATCTTTTCATTGTTCATGAGCTCTGGCATGTTGTTGGGAGCCCGCAATGTCTTTGTGCGGCCTATGTCCCAATCGTCCTGAAGCAGACGGCATTTGTACTGTGTCGTCGCCAGAAGGAAACAGGAGTGCGTAAGTGCACCGACCTAGGACACAAACGCAAAACACAGCTAGGATCAGACGAGAGATGAGACACTATATATAACTAAATTCTGCATGAGCTGCTTTCTTCGCAAGCGTGCTTCAGGAATGTATGCTAGTCATCTCCTGCGACTGCATCGTTTTGAGCGTCGGCGGAAACTTGCTGCACTGTTCCTGGTCCAAGCAGATGGCTTTGCGGGGTTGCGTGGATGCAGCAGGATCAAGCCCATAACGAAACGCGCCTCGTTCACAGGAGATATTCCCATGAGATGCGCCTTTGCAGGGCTGGGTTTGAGGTTTGAGGAGTCTCCTGTTTCGTTTTGACAGGCGTGGTAAGACACAGCAAATGTGCCATGCCGGTGCCATCTACACAGCAAACGTGCTGGAGAACGGAGCCGTGCGCCACTCGGTACGGCAGGAGGTGCGCGGTCCCTACGGCGCGGCGCGATCTGGAACACATCAGGCGCCACTGTGCAGTACTACATGTGACATTGTCGAGGCTCGGAGCGCGCCAGGCTTGAGGCAAAGCAATGCACAAAGCATCGCAAAGCCAGAAAGACCAGAAGGGCCGGCCGCGGCGGGCCTCGCATGCTGGGGCTCGCACCGATTCCCAATTCGGCGGTCCCGGGATTTCAGCACCTGGAGGTACAAGTTGGACTTTCACTGCAGAGCAAGGCAGTTCGCAGACCCTGCCTAGTGGGCCGGCAACAGTGTGCCGGTTGTGCCCCGACGTGCTCTTGGACGTGCGTTTCTCCCGATGCGACCTCAAGAAGGACATCGCATGCACTTCGGAACTCAGAGAAGACAGAGTCCCTGGCCATGAGGAGCACGTTATTCGAACCCAAAGGCGAGGAAAAACTGTGGTGCCCCTCTCAGGCCTCGTTTGATGCAGCAATGACTGAAGACAAATCATGCAGAAGATGTCTGAGGCACGAGCACTTGGTTTGGCTTGAAACCTTCCTGACAGGAATGAAAGCTGGCTGTCAAGGTGTACCTAGATGTCGCATGGATACACATGTGCAGATGAGAACACAACACTGTCCTGCTGCTGCAGGAAATCGTGGCTGCCCAGAGAAACACTTATGCCCTTCCAAGCCTGCATCGTCGAGCATTTACAGGGCACAACACGCCCTTACAAAACGAAAACTCTCGTAAGATGGCTGCAGCCGGACTTGGGATGCAGCATGTGGGACGACATTGGAGTGGTGAAACTCTCCGAAGGCCCCACTGGGTGTGTTTACACCGGCCACCTTGTCTGGCAGATTGCATACATCGGCATGCCGCTGCCCCTGCTGGTGTCCCCGGGGCTGTTGCACCGCGATACGCTACGAAGCCAGGATCGAGCGCTGATGTCTCGCGAGGCCTGAGCTGTGCGAAGTGACGCGGAGCGCTCGCATCTCTTGCTCTCAAGATCAGCTGAGATCACGGCGGCTTGCTGCAGAAGAGCCGGTTCAGACCTTCGGCCGAACATTCCAAGAAGGGATGCCGGGCGGCCCCGTGTCAGCTCGGAAATCAATTCTTAATTGGTCTGGAAGAGCTCAAGCAGCCCTTGGCTTGGCACCCTGCCGAGTATCTGAAACATAGGCTCCATGTCCGCTAATCTGACAAGCATGTTGCTCTTCCGCACTGCTCGCAGAAGGCGCAACCTCAAAAAGCTCAGGATGTGAGTGCTGTTCGATGTCGCTGCCAGCCGTCAGAGCGGCATGCTGCCAGGCTATGAGCCGTTGTCGCACTGTACTGTCATCTCCGACAAGCACTAACCCTTGCTGAGGCTCCAGCATGTCGCCTCTGGTCCGAGCCTTGCCAGACAAGAGAACACAACCTGCCGCTCACAATGCAGGAAACTCCCTTGCCCGGTTGCCAAATTGAAATCCAAAAAGAGCAGCCGTGAGCACACGCAGCAAAGCCATTCCCAGGGATGTTAGCTCCCCGCTCTCATCTCACTCTGCGAGCGTAGCTGAGAGTCGTCATCGGTTCCTAAGCTTGGTGCATCACAGGTACCAGTGCTGACTGAAGGAAGCTCGCTCAGAACTGCCCAACGTACTCTGCAAATGCCTGAGTTCCCTGCCGTCAGTGCCACAACTAGAGATGTCGGTGCCCATGGTCGTGGCAGCGTTCTCTGTCTTGGATACGAGAGACAGCGTCAAAAAGCACACTTGACTTCAATCCAAACGCCGGTGGCATTGAAGAAGTCTGCACAGGCAAGCATCTTGTTAACGCTCACGATACTATTGGTGGCAGCACAAAAGCATCTGTTTCTGTGTAATTATTTGCTTTCGTGGCCCCTTATAGACTTATAGGAAGTAAACTACAGACAAGTCTTTGCCAGATGGTTGCCGGGCTAAGGCAGAAGACATGTGTCCGTATCATGTTCGGGAAGGATTGGCGAGTCTAGGCCGTAGGTAGAATCGAAGCTCAAGTGGTCCAGCACCACTAATACGTGGGGCTTATCTGTCTCTGAGTCTTGGCCAGGGCGACGGCATCGCTGCCCACAGGAGCACCCATCTGCTGCCTGATCGATACCACAATGTAACCCACTGGGACATACACTCACTGCTTTCCTGCGAGTTTGCTGAACATGTGGTGGAAGGACTCACTTCTAGGATGCAGTAACATGCATCCGCGGCACCCACTGCCCACGTCGGAATATCCTCACTGGGTGCAGGCCATGTCGAGCCGATACAAAGCATGCGACAGTTGAAACAAACCCTCAGATGCCGTAGGAGGCACACGACGGCGACACTGTTGCCCTGCGATGCCGGGCTCCTGGGGCCCCCGGCCATCGTGGGTCTCGTCCTCCGGATAATGTCCGTCGCCATCCTGACCGGATGACGAGAATCTTGCGGAGACTGCAGAGCTCGTCAGGAATCGGATCACCTCGTGGGAGTTTCTCTCTAGCTCGTCATCATGGGAGCCCATTTTCCGCTCCTGTACAAGACGATGCTGGTAGTTTAGGTGAGCCCGTCCTGTTCCTGCTATAGCTTCTTTAGGCTGGCTAAGCTGGGCCGTCATCGTGTCTCTGTTGGCAATGCGCTCACTCTGGCCATCGTGCCGTCCTGCTGTGCCAGGGCGCCCTTGGCCCAACGAGCGATCAGGTGGATGACCTGACCACTTTGAAAGCGAAAAGACCCGAGAGCTGCCCGGCTGCTTTTGCCTCGATCTCACTGACGACGGGCAGCTCATCGGAGCTGAGCAAAGCTTCCACGAAAGACCTCGCCAGACTACGACCATCCAGCCGTCTCTGGCGCCGGAAGCGGTATCACTCGAAACTAAGACCTAAGCACTGGCAGCTTCTCGAAGTGCTCTTCGGCATCTGCAGGGGAAGCACGGCTGGTTGTAAAAAACAGAGCGCGCCTCCGCACCTGCTGTGACCAATGAGAAATGACCTCCCAAGCTCCGAAGGCGAATGACAGTCAATCAAAGGACGTATCGGACATGCACCATTCTCATGTGCTGAAACGGATGAAGAACTCGGACAAGTCACAAAGGTATCCGTGAGGCTACCATCAGTGTCGTCTCAGCATCCGACGTCGACTCCTCAGCGCCTTCAATAAACTGTTCCACCTGAGCAGAAAACGTGCGGTCCGGCGCGTCCTGTCACTGTGACGACTGAGGTTGAAGCAGCAGCCTACCGAAATGCTCGTTGGACATTTGCACGGTAAGCATGTGGTAGAAGAGGCCGGCCTACAGCTTCCCTCTCTGCCCCCTTCCACGCGAAGCTCTGTCCAGCATGAGCGTCAGGCTGTGAATTGGTCTTGCATCCACTGCAAGCAGTGCTTCACAATGTCCTCGATGCAGTACTTGTCCGCGATGTGCAGCAAAGCCTGGCGAGCATCCATACCAGCACGCAAAGCTGAGTCACAGAGCCGTAGAGCCTTCACGTTGGACTGATCCACATGGCAGGTGTTTAAGTAGACGAACCTGATCATCTCGAGGAAGACCTGACGCCAGGCATGGGTCCAGCAGTCAACGGAGCTGTACAGCCACTCTGAACCTGCAGGCGGCTGGACAGGATCGACTACAACAGAATATCAAGGCAGTTGGCAAGAACAAAGCAAAAGCAGGTTCGGTAAGTTGTTGCCAATGTCACATCCTTGTCACAAGCTCATTGCAAACAGGAACGGTACCTGCGACAGCAGTGACGCAGCACAGCTGCCCCTATGGTTCGTGAAAGTCTAGAACATGACTAGCGGTCTCTGTAGTGACTGCCACTGGGCTTCTCGGACTTCCTCAAAAACGGCAAGCGCCATGGCTACAGCAAAAGTGGGTGAGCCACGTTGCGTAGGCGAGAGAGGCGCTGGTGCTGCTCTACGGCGTTTTTGCCTCCTCTTAACCTGTCCCAGTAGCATCACAGCTTCCCTTTCACCACCCCCTTTACATCGGATTTTGGTCTTTAAGCCCCCATGACCAGAGATTTTCACTGCCCCAAAAAACCGACAAAAATGCCCCGGCCATGCTGTTCCTACCTTTCCGCCACCACTGACTACGATAACGACGCCTATTGCTACAATGATACTGCTACCCGCTGCTGCTACTGCTACTGCAACTGGCTCTCCAGCTATCGTGAATGCGACAGTTCATGTGGCTCTTGCATCACTGCGTCGCGCCTCGGGCTCATCGTCCACTGTCACCTGCGTTTGAAGTTGCAAAGTGCGCCGTTCCACACAGACGGCAAACTCCCCTTGGAGAGAAAATTCAAGACACCATGGGCTCGAGTGCTCTTTGTCCTGATGGGGGGTGCCTACGAGGGCCTACGAGCTGTAGTAGATTACTCTGCTTGAAAGCTTGATTTGGGCAACCTCGACCCTAATCCCAGTCTCTCTTCTGGGGTTCGTATCTTGCCCTGCGACCGTCTATCGCCAAGGGTCGAGGTACCTAGCAAACACAGTTTGGTGGCATCCCTGGCTCCAGGTCCACGAGGTCGACACTTTGACAAAGCTCGCCCCAGACCAAAGCGCCGAGCAGAGGGACCGGTCGGAAGCTTCATGCGCTCTCTCCATTCTCTTCTGGACACAGTTTGCTCTCCTGCCTCGACTGGCTTTTCCGGCGCTGGGCCTGCCGTGGCCGTCCGCGGAGAGTTCACGGCCTCCACCTAATCACGCTGCGAGTCCAAGCTCCCAACCCCCGGCCCCGTTGTGGCCTGTGCCGGCGCCCCAGAGCAGCGATCGACGGAGGCACCACGCGCGGAGGAGGTGTCCACACTGCCCTCGAGCAACATCGGCAACGCGCAGGCGCGCGCCAGCAACAGGGTATGTCGAAACTTTCTGGACAGGGCCGGCCTGGTCTTGAACCTGATCCTGAACCGGGTCTTGAATGTCGCAGACCGCCTCTGCAGGCTCTTGGACCGGATCCGGGAGGACGGCGAAGTCCTTGTCGGGCCTGGCCGCATTTTGGGCTCCAATTAATCCAACAGGATCCAACAGGAAACTCCCGCACTCCCGCTCCGAGTCCCGAGCCAGGCCGCGGCCGCTGCCGCCTCGGCCGCCGCAGCCGCCGCCGCGGAGGCGGGCGGGGGCTCCCGAGGCTCGGCCTCGTGTGCAGAAATTGCAGAATCGCGAAGGGCACGCAGTCAGGGAGTTTTTTCAGCCTGTGGCACTAGTGGAACTGCCTGTGCTCGACGGATAACCTCCGAACTGTGCCGAAACTGTCGGACCTCAGCTCTCTCTCTCTGGAGCTCCTCTTGGAGACGGACACTGGGAGAATTGCTGGTGGTGGCAACACTGCCCTGGACGTCCATGGCATGGCCGAACCTCATATTTATCCGAGCTCGCCGTCTAGAGCACCCGGTGACGGCTGCACATCCTTGCGGCTTGGTGCCCTACCTGCACTCTTGCTGTGCTAGAAGTCGGTCGAGCAACCTGAAGCGAAACAACACGGACCGCGACTGAACCAAGTTTTCCTGCTCCTCGCGGCGCAACAGCCACGGCGACAAAGCTGGGGTGTAGACACTGGCTGTGTGCGAAGCAGCAGGCTGTGACATCGAAGGGGCATCTGGCCAGCCTCAACAGAAACGTGCAATAACGTGCAAGCAAGGCAGTTCATGCAGAAGCATCCAAGGCCAGGGCCACGTGCATCTGCTCATTTCCTCCAGGTCTCTGCATGAAAGGCTGGCACTTCGCCCCTTGGCCCCCCTTTGCCTGCACCGTGCATCCACCCACTGCGCGTTGTCCTTCCAAAGTGCCGCCAAGAACGGAATCACCCAAAGAGACCACGCAGCATACACCATGGTTGCACTACGTATGTTGCAGTTTCTTGTCCTGTGCGGCGACATAGGGCTGGAGTGCATGGCCAATCCAGGCCTGGCAGGCCCAGAGCTGTGTCAGCTCTCTCCCCAATTCTGGGAAATGTTCCAAAACTCTGGGCACAGGCAGAAGCCTCGGACTTGCTTGCTGAAATCCACCGGGCCTGGGTCAGCGATATTTGCGCACCACGTACTGCGATGTGCCAAGGAGTGCGAAGCTTTTGAGGCTGCCACGATGTGCCACAGCCCATCACTCCACTGGAAGGGGAGGCCTGCAGCAGTGCTGGAAACCTCACCCGCGATGTTGCCAGCAAGTACAGGACAGGAGCAAAGGCAGTCGCTTTCTCCATAGGCTGAAGGAACGAGCTCACACATGTCTGAATTGGTCAAGGCTAATCTGAAGGGCAGGCGGGCTTTCTATCCGAGCCACTCTTTTTGAAGCTCTACAAATCGCGCCGGTTCCTGGATTCCAGGAGGCGACCTTCGCCCACACCCGAAAGGCTGCCTCTCCGCTGCTCGGCTTCGGAGCCGAAGGTTTGTTAAGCCGGAGCCCTTCAGGCTTCAGGCATCCTTAGGCTGGTCAGCTCAGATACTGGATCTCCCGGAACGATGCAGTGCTTGACAAAGTCCAGACGCGGGTAAAACTCCCGCGCGTAGGAATTCCCATGCCGAAGTAGCTCCTTCTCGTCCACACCATCTGCGTAACCGGTGAAGAGACGATCAAGCACAGGCAGATCAGCCAAATCGACCCGGCCAATCGGTGTCTCCCAAGGGGCGATGGGCCTCCGTCCGTGCTCCGTCAGCGAGAGATCCGCCAGTGCCACAGCAACTTGCGTGCTTCTAGCGTTGGGCCGATCTGCAGCCAGGAAAACGGTGCCTTTCGGAAGGAAACTTCCTTGTGTTCGCTCATCATCTGGAATAGTCGGCGACCACTTTTCGTTCATGTCGCTGTTGTCGCTGATGCCGAACTGTGCCACAAAGCCTCTCACCGCTTTGAAAATCGCTTGGTCTGAGAAGAAGCCGTCACGAACCAAGTCCAACAACCTCCGCGCTCCTTGTGGAGACTGCATGGAATCCAGTTCAATCGTGATTGCTCCCTGAGTCGTGTCACATTTCACAATGCTTCTGTGATGCGGCTTCGGTTCCCTCCGAACCAGCCCTGTGTCGGTCAGCAGCATGGAGATCACCTTTGAATGATCCAAACGCTCACGAGGCTTGACCTCCTTCAGCTCAGACACCTCAGCCTGTGTCAGGGGAGTACATGTGATAGCGAATATGGAAACACTGAAAAGGCGGGTCAGTTTGATTCGCATTCGGAATCCTACACCGCCCTCAACAGACACAGCCTGCTATCTGCTTGGGCCAACAGCCCTCATTCAGAAAGCAGTGAAAATCTCGGAAAAAATCGAGGGCTTCAAGGTCAATTGCACGCATGCCCAAACTTGTTGCATCTCCAGAGCTGCAGCGGTCTGAGCTTCGTGCAACAGGCGGTGTTGCGAGCTGCGGAGGGTGGTCCAGGCCACCTTGGCCGGCAGACTACGTGACGCGACACGTCCATCATGGTCCTATGCACTTGGCTCTTTCTTCGACTCCGGCTTGGAGGCCCGAAGTGGATGATGATGTCCGCAGTGGATGCCGGCCTCAGCTTTCGGCGGGGGCACCCCGAGGCTCCAAAGCCTCTTCCTCTCGGGTTCCAACCCCACGTTTCCACTCACCACCTCCTCGAAAAGCTTTGCCATGACTTTGGGCGGATTTCCGGCTTCTGCGAGTTTGCGAGCTCGTGGGGTGAAGGTAGGTGCTGGAGTTGCAGCGTGCAGTGCTGGGCTGTGTTTCAGTGTGTAGTGGGTTGGGTTGGGCCTTGCCATGCCTAGCCCCAACCTGGGAGCCAGGGAGGTTCCTGTTCTCTTGAGCGAGGCAGCGTGCGATGTGTGCGCAGCAACGTTGCATCTGACTTGCGGAGCGCAGCACCTTCGGTGCAGAATGGAGAGCAAAACGCCGCTTTTACCGCGTGCCTCGAAGCTGCTTCCCAACAACACACTCTGTATGCTCCCCCGGTACACCTCGAATGCAGCATCGTCTTCAAGGCTGTCCCATCAATGCGGTGCATGATCTGGCTACTGCATGCTACTACCATAGGCTTTTAGAGTCTATGTGATCCATGCAAGCAGTCTCGTTGCTACGAAAGGCAGACTGGTTTCAGTCCGAGAAAGGTTGAGGACTTCTGCCACAAAGTCAGTACAAGCTTCCACCAGTCTACACAAGCATATTGGAGTTCTCGATCCCAAGAGCAGCAATGGCTTGTGGTGGAAAGGCTTGCACCCTGAGGAATGCGCCACGAAGCAAACGGACTCTAGCAGCTAACGTCTTGATTGCACACGGACATGGGTCCTTTGCTTCAAAGACAGGATTCCCTCAGACGTGCTTCTCCTAAAGAGGCAGCCTTCTTTGACAGGTAGGCAAAGCCAGTGTCCTCAGTGCAGCTATCTTTGGGGTAATGAAAATGGCAGACCTGCACGGAGATGGCTCCAGTTGGTGTAGTGTCAGAAAGCCCGCCTGAAGGACCTGACTTTCCTATTTACAGATCTACAGTTGGCTTACATGACAGGAATGACAAGAAGAAGAGCTGTCACGCGTCGAAGCAATGCCGCCCCAAAGCAACAAACCACCGAAGCGTCCCCTTTTGAACCGTCCACCTGGCCTGGTGATCTCTTGGTACCACAAAACATGACAAAACCAAGTGCGCTTCTCTGCCCCTGTGGAAGTCCGAACCTCACCCTGAATCCGACCTGTCGTGATTGAAGCCCCTGCCCCATTCCCGGAGTTCTCCAGGCTTGGGCTTTCCATCATAAGCCCCAAACCCAAGGCTACCCGTCTCATCGCCGCCCCTGCCGCCCCCGAAAGGCCCAGAGTTGTCGCCCGTCTCCTCGGAAAGCCCGATGCAGTATTTGCAAGTTACGGAGAGTGTACAGGGGTACTGGGCATGAGGAGCATTTCGTTTGTACTTTACTTCACAATCCATCTGCCTTTACAGGTAGCCTCTGCGATCCGTTCAGCAGCGGAGCCAACATTCCACAAAGGTCGTCTTTGCAGGCAGAAGCCCATCTGCCCAAACACTGTCTATCAGCGTCTGCCCTAGTTAACTCGTCGGTGTTTATCCACTTATCGGTCACACCACCTTCTTCCCATCCTCTACCATGAACCGGCACGTCATGGACATGCATGGATGGGTGGGCAATTCCAGCACGACCCTGAGTGACAACTTTGCATGATGGGTAGTCTTCGTCTTCTCTGCTTTCCGTGCAGACATGGTCATCGCGTCTCGGCACTTCTCGACTTGTAGCCGTCTGAGTGCTCGACCTCTAATAACGACGAACAGGGCTTCGGGAACGTGCGGCTTCTCTTGGCTTTGCAGCGCCACACCTGAGGTCGACCGCAAGAGTGGGAGAGGCTCGAAGAAGCTACACTTGGGCTCGGACTTCCTACAAGCCTCGTTCCGGGCAAATTGCAAGTCTCCACAGCTGGAGCAAATCCAGTCACCAGGCTTCATCGCCTGGTTATTGCCTTGACTTCACTTCAAACTGCTCTCGTGTTCCGCAGAAGCTGGCAACTCCGAGCAGTCAGAGCTAAGCTTCGGGCTGGACAAAACTGACCTCAGCTGTGGGGTGAGACCGCAAACCGGCTTGGTAAAACATTCTGCAGGTCGCGGCGAGGTTCGTTGCGCTCCGCCAGCGGCACGGGCTTGAATGTCGGCCTACGCCACTCTGCACTTGTCAGCAGCAACATCACGAGTAGCATCGACGACACCGGGCTTACCAACAGCGACCCCGCGATGCCATAGACGTTAGGTGCACCTTTGCTTCAGGACTCTCATTGGGCCTTTCACTCAAACTCCACAACTGTTCATGAAAAAATATCGGAGGCATCCGCCCGCAGCAGGCCGCTCAGCTCTGTCCTTTGCTGCAGTGCGGCTGGCAAACCACCGACAAGGCGAAAACACCAAAAACTGAGAACATACGGCGCGGCTGAATCGCTGAGTCGTCCACGTAATGCCTGTCCGCTATGTGCCGCGATGCACCTTCAAATGACTTCGGGATACTTCTGAAAATTTTCGCCGCAGCACACATGCAAGTGCGAGACAAGCTCACGGATGTGTGGGCTGCACTGAGTCCCAGACTCACATCTGCAGGCCTATGCTGAAACAGCCGCATTAAGTGGTAGCTCGTTGGCTCTTTCGACCTGTTCCTGGCCGGCTTTGTCGTGCTAAGCTCCAGCTAAGGATTGGACTTGGGAGTCCCGCATTTCCGGCAAGTTTGATTCCGCCTGGGGCTCAAGCCATGGCAGTCAGCAGAGACTCACAGGGTGATTGATCTCGCCAGGCCCCCGGCCCGAACTGATGATCACCACCTCGGTGCAAGGCTGCTAGCTTCTGCTCAAAAAATTTCACTGCCCGACAGCCAAGGCTGTGGCAGCTAGGACCTCATTCTCCCAAGGATGCGCTGCAGGATGCTCCCGAAACATCGCATCGCGGCTTCAATGTGCTGAGCTTCAAACAGTTCCAGTCCCCCGGCTTGAACCCTCAGGCAACACTTGCTGGTCCATGCTACAGCCTCGTCAAAGGTTCCGGCACCTCCACTCAGACTCGCCGTCTGAGCAACGGGAAGCGCGGAGGCAACAGAGCCGCGAGGTGGAAGCACACCCTCGAAAGCCGACATCACTCGCCGCAAATACTTGGTCTTCCCTTTCCGTCTGAGGCGGAAACCAGCAGGGCCGCTGCTTGTTCTATGTATTGCGGAGGGACGCTTGCGGCGCCGGGAACGCCTGCCAGCGCGGAGGCCTCAGGTGGGCTACGCATTGAAGGTGACTACCATCTACAGCGAAAATAATCTAAGCCTCTGTCCCTGAATCCCTGGCTTTGTCCGATGGCAGGAAAGCCACCCAAGCCAGCCATGCCACCCAGGCTGCCCAAGCCGCCCAGCCCAGCGGATGTGGCCTCACAGGCATGACACAGCATGAGAGGACACGCGGAAGCGAATGCACTTGTCAGTAAGCCAGTTCTACAAGTGGCTGGTCGCGGCGCGCCACATTTCCGGCATGTTTCGTTGCGGGCAAACCTGAGGTGACTCATTGAAGTGGCTCACTGCTCTTCCACACATCCGAATGCAAACGCTCTGGTTCATAATTGTCACCGGGCTGCTGGTGGTCACCGCACTCAGAGCCTCAACAATCTGTGACAAGCTCATGGCCGATGCACAATCCAACGGCAGGATTCCCGGAAGCAATTCCGAGACATCTTATTATGTCCGGCGTTGTAGCCGGATGCACAGCCCTCTTCAAGCATGTGTCATGATTTGCATGCCCTCGAGTCATCTCAGCTGTAAGGACCAGACATATCCAATCACCCTCTTTGAAGTCACCACGATGGGCCTCAAAGTTTACAACTTACGAGAGACAATGACACGTTTGACACTGCCAGTTTCCTGGTGCTTTCGGAATGTCTCGGAGCGACATGCTCTGCTCGGGAAAGCCGCTGGTTGCTCAGCTGAGCCAGTACATACCACATCAGCAAAAGCAGGCACCGGGAGGTCCGGGAAGAGCTCAGGGTATGTAGGGATCAGAGCGCGAGTGGAGTGGATAGGAAGATCGGCCCAGGGTGGTGGATTGAGTGCAGAAGCAGAGTGGGAGAAAATCGAACAAGAGGAGGGAGGGAGTTGGCACGTGGCCTGAGAAGCCTGAGCAAGTGCATGACGACGAAGTGCAAGGTCGAGGCAAGTGTTTTCGGACTGCCGGTACGTGTAGGACGCGCATACTGAGCGCAGGCTTTTGGTCGGTACCTGGTTTTCAGCCCGGTGAGTTGTTTCTGCCTGTGAGAAGCGATGCTCAATACCATGGTAACGACAATTGGTTTGGCCTCGAACATGCAGGATGGGTCACGATGATGGTGATGATGATTGCATGCCCTCGGTCGAAATTCTGATCAAGTTGATGACCTACGTTATGCTGCTCCGGTGATAACGAGTCCAACTGCGCCCCTCCCTGTCACACATCCGCATTCCCCGTGATAAATGTAATACAACCTCACCAAGCCGTCCCAAGCTCTGGCAGCATCTTAGCTACCTAATCTTGCGATGGAATCTGGGAAGACCGAGGGGAGAGCTGTCGGCTGAACCGCTTGCATTCTGCCACCACCGCCTCTCGCACCTCCCTGCAGAAGGCAGATGCTGGACTCAGGCACGCCGAAAACATCACGGAGCACAACATCAAAGGTCTGCTTCGTGGATTCAGCTCAACGTCACATCTAGTCCTGGCTCCCAAGCACTCGAAAGTCTCGAGACCCACGCATCACGTGGGTTACCACACTTGCGACATGTAGTATTGCGTGCAAACCTCGGGCTTCAAACCCGCAACAGTCCATGACACCAACACAGACATGTGTGCTGTTGCGAAGTTGAACTAAGGCCTGAGCTGATGATCGCCGCATTGGCTGCACATCCAGTCGCCCTCGAAAGGTATGAAAGAAATGCTCAAGGCGCAAAGTGGCCGACGGGCTTCCCTACGCTGTCCCTCCACACGTGCAGGTGGCCTCCTTGAAGTCTGACATCTTGCGATACAGCAGACTACCACAGCCCTAACCGGGATGCTTTCAGCCACAACGGCGTTCAAAGCGGAAATAGCGGAAGCGGCTTTTCTCATAGCAAGCCGGCATAAGATCATGGTGTCAGGAAGGCAAGAGGCCATGGACACACACGAGTCTGAGACGGCATCAAAGTGAGCAGTGAACTCTTTGCTTTAATTCAGTTTAATGAAACAAGCGTTACAGCAAAGCAAGAGGTGAACGTCATCTTTGTTGGATAGAGCTCTACAGGCCTGCTCCATCCCCTGCAAGCTGGTAACTGAAAACCACGAATATCAAGCTCAGAATGAAGGCTTCCACACACACACACACACACTGGCTTCCTTCCTTCCTTCCTTGCTTACTTACTACCTTAGTTTCATATATACATATGCACACACACTCACACACCGGATAGTAAACTCGCACAGTATTTTGCCCGCTTTGTCTTCCCCTTCAAAGCAGCTGCCGTAGTTTCTCCAGTTCATGCCGCAGCTCCTGGCACAACTAAGCAGGGCCCAACTCTCCTCTGTCTGAAACAAAAGCCGGAGCCTCCTCAGGTTCTGTCGGCTTCAGGAGGAGCTCGTCGCCCTGACATGTAGGATGACAACCTCTGGAGCTACATGCTCTCTCCCTCTCGCAAAATCAGCGCAAGCCGTCTAGGATTCCTGTGATGGCCGTGACATTGCAACACTCGCTGCCTGAGCTTTTATCGGAGCTGGCTGTTCCGAGGTCCCCTCAGTCCGAACTGAGGCCTGCTGCAACCTCAGCGCCGGCAGAGACATGCGCCGAACACGACTGTGGTCTCAACTTGGACTCGGGCAGTTCCGATCGCATCGCAGTTACCTCTTGCATGACGGTGACAGAAGTGACAGGAGTGACACAGTAACACAAGGCAACATTGAATGGCCTGCTGCTCGTTCAGTGCCAGGCGTTGGTCCTCAAAACTCGGAGCCATTTTCACCGGGAGCAATCGGATTGAGGACGCTTAACAACAAGGGCTGTCGCCAGCAGCTGCACGGTGCGCATCATGATCTCCAAGTGGCTCTGCCTGCAGCTCTCATGAGGGTCTGGAATGCCTGCACATAGGTAGCTAGCTTCGGCACACTTAGTGCAGGCTTGCTGCATCGTCTTCAGCGTCTCTGCCAATGGAGCAGGGACTTCTTGCATGTGGTCAGAGACAGCTGCGGCTGGCAGCTCATCTCGGTCCCGGTCTTGGGGCTCCGTAAAGTCTTCTGCCTCCCTGGTCTCTCGGGGTGCCCGTGGCGCCTCTTTGGGCGCCTCTTTGGGTGCTTTGGGTTCCCGGCGAGACCTGCTCTCTGAGAGAGCCCGGACCTGCGCCCGCTCCGGCGTCGTGACGGGGTGGCGCCGTGCCGGACTCGGAGCAGAGGATGGAGGAAGGGCTGCGGCCGCGACCGGAGCAGTCGCTTGCGCGCAGCTCCAGGTCAGGACCTCCAAGGGCTACCGCAATCTGACCAGCAGCGTGCTTGCAAAGCGGGGTGCACCAAGCCATCTTGTCCGGCTGTGGCAAGGCCTGTTGCATGAAACTGAAAGCCAGACTTCGGGTGCAATAAGCATGGCTGTCTCAGCCCAGCACTCCCTCCCGATGGCGAGAAGGCCTCGGGAGCATGCACTGCAAACCGGCACCAGTGCGAATGCATTGCATGGGCTTTTTCGACCGACTTTGAGGTTCCCGCACATGCCAGTGGAGCCTTCTTGTGGCCCTGCCCGACGACCTGCAACACAGCCGATCAGCAGCGGCAGGTGAAATCTGGAAAGCCTGCAAACAGCATCGCAAAACCTCTGCCTTGTGCATCAACCTTCCCTCGCGCAGATCCCAAATCTTCAAAGCTCCATCCTGCTGCATGCATTCACGACACATGTCATCTTCAGCCGCGAAAATGCTTGCTGCACGGTCAGCTATTGACGGGTCATGTGATTGAGAAGCTGTGCTTCTTGGTGGCTGTGCCCTCCTCTCCGGTCGATGCGAGCTGTTCTCCGTAAGGGTGGAAGTCAATGGAGGTGATTCGGCCTGGGCGAACTCGAACCCTGATGGTGCGTGTACATGGCACCCATTTCCGCGCCTACATGGGCATCATAGTGCTGCAGCAACCTACGCCTGCGAGCGGAAAGCTGGCATGAGCTCAACACGCCAGGCAAAGCGAGATGATCCGAGCTTCCGGCGAGCGCAAGTCCCAGAGCTTGATGCAGCCATCGTGACCACAAGCTGCTATGCAAGACCTGACACCCAAGTATCACAACTACCTGCCCAAGACAAGACTAGTTTTCCAGGGAAACTTTTGCGAGACTGAAAGCCCTGAAGCCTAAAGCCTCAAGTGTCGGTACATCCCCAGCAAGAGAAAACTTCCGCTTTGAAACTATCTGGATGTTAGATGCGAGTTAGAACTGCAGTTAAACCCGCATCTTGATCCAAGACTTTGTATGCATGATTTCTTATGCACTCGCGGCATGTCATTGTGATTTGAGAGCATCGTAGGTGCAACACAGAAACGGCAAAGCTTTGCTTGCTGAACAGGTGTCCTTGCTGTGCCTGATCATACTAACTTCGACAGCAGAAACCAGTCGGTTTACTTCCACGGAGCTCATGAAGATGTCCGAAAATAAAGTCAACTGACATAGTGCACTTCACGTGTAAGACCAGCTAAGGAGATACTTTGCCTGCCGTGCATGTCAACGAAACTTGGAAAGCAGCCTGACATAATGCAAAGTTGATTACAGGAAGAGCCGTTCATACGGCGCAGCTGCACTAACTTTGGGCACAGCATGGAAGCACAGCACTAGGAACTACACTTCCAGAGGAAAAAACAAAAACAAAAAGGTGCCGTTCAGACTCTAATAACGTGTCGGTAATCAAATTTCGCGAGATACTCCAGAATCTTGCATGGCTTGTTCACTACCGGTAGACATACTTCAATTTCGTGCATGTTGTCAAGACATAAATGCTACGGCCCAGGACAGAATGTAGCACTTGATGACTTGATGCTTCCGCGCTTTTCATACTTGGATTAGAGAACATGAACCTGGCTGGGCCTTCGTACACGCATGGCGTGTACAATGCGCTTCTACTTCAGATGCGTGTCGAAGAGTTTGCCCATTCTTTGATATTCTTCGCATCTCCTGTAGCCTTGCTCATGGTGATGTATACTCTTATCCGCACGACAACTATCGCTTACAACCAAGTCTTGTAAGCTCCGAAGAGATAACCCTCGAGAATATCATTCTGCATAAGTGCTGATGGGTTGACTAACTTCGGCACACGTGGAAGCCTTGTGGGTGGTCCAAGGCCCCAACCCTTCCGGATGGAACCTGACCTTGGCCACCGGAACCTCGAAGTCGGGAAAGGTCATGAGCGTCGCCTGCCATTCGCAGAAACTGCTGGCCGGTATTTCAAGCACATCCATGGCCTTCTTGTCCACATCCCAAACCCGTATCACACGATCCTGCAGCGGAATTCAATCTTGCTTCAAAACCAAACAAGACAAAGAGAAGAGTGACGTCCGTGCTGCAACAAGTCATGCGACCCCAAACTGGGACCCAACCCTTCGAACGCGCAAACAGCCTTGCAACCGATCCAAAAACGTCCTCACCACCAGAGGCGACTAACTCGGAGTTCTTGGAGAAGTCCGCAGAATACACCTTGCAAAGGACTGCACCACTTGATGGTGCCCAATGATGGTTGGAAGTTCAGGTGCATGAAGGCGAGTCACCCAGTTCGTGTGACCCAGCAAGGAGGCATGAAAGCGCTGGGATGCCACAGACCACCTTGAGATGCACCACACACAAAACAAGAGCACATAAGAGCACAGTTGTCGTGACGTGCCAGTATGAGATGCTGGCAACTTTATGGTCTTGTCATCGGATGCGGTCAGCAGAGTGGAGTCGTCTCTTGAGAAGCAGACGCTTCGCACTGGTGCTGTATGCACCTTAGTTCAGCTCAGACGTAAATCTCAAAGAGTTGCTCACAGGGGCTGTGCCCAATAGTAGCCTACATGAAGCATGTAGGGCACCTTCATGACCTTCGAGTCGCCTTGGGCGGAGTTGGTCCAAAGTCGCACCTGAGCTGGCATAGGCTGAAGCCGTGAATGGGCCGTTCCAACTCTTCAACTTATCCGAACTTATGCTGCCCAGCTGCGGTCTGATCGGCTGATGCTGATGCGATGCACTGGCCCTGGTCGCATGGTACAAATGATGCAAGACGCCGACTTCAGCAAATCCTCCGAAGCTTCTTGAAACCAAGGCTCGGAGCGGCTGATGGCGAGGTCGTGCACTTCGCCCTTGTGGCCTCGGGCTCTCTGGAAAGTGCCCCTCAGAGGTAAGGGAATTGTCATATCAGGTGTACTGGGCCTGAGCACCAGCCAGCAACAAAATCGAGGGCTCGGCCAACAAAGCGGAAAGGCCGAAGCTGAGGCTTGAAGTGCCAGACCTGTGCTGCTCCGCCACTCTGCTGCGAACATGTACATTGCGAGGTCCAAGCGAAGAGGCAGCCGTCATGAGCTCCAGATATGGCCTGTGGGCAGATGATTAGATCACCTGGTCCACTGCGCCACCCTGCCACCTGCTGCTCTTCTGGATGAAAGACCACGGAAGTGACGGGCGCACGGTGCCCACGGAAAGCTCGATCCAGCCTGGGATGATCAAATCCAGACGCAGCTGTCACTGAAGAACTTAAGCTGTTGAAGCACCTTGGCTCTGTCAAGCCAGCGAGGCCGGGCATGTGGCTTAAACTCGAAACCCTCGCTTATTCTAATACTGCACTGCCACGCCCACACGCATCCCAGTTTCACATGCGAAAGTTCGACGATCGGGTCCTACTTCCTACCCTTGTAGAGTGTACACGGGCTCTCCGCCTACTTGGGTGGTGGTTGCTGTCTGCCACCTCAGCCGCCTATGATTCCCCAAGAGCCTGCGAAAAGCAGGCTGCCCCCGAAAGCAGCTATACGGCCACGGAGTGTTTCAACGCCATCTTGACTACGACCGTTCTTGATTGCTGCGATCTGTCTCCATCTGGTCGCAAACCTCCGTCTGAGCTCTGCCTTTTCAGCGCCGCGGCTCGAAGTTGGGAGGCTTGGCGAGGTGTTGGGTCACTTTCCACTTTCGAGCTGCACAATGCAGACATCTTCACCTATAAACAGGTGGACGGCAACACCCGCTGCCCTGACGTCAGGCATTTACAAACAGCGACCTCCAATCGCTCTCCTCGCTGGAAATCCAAGCTGTTGAGCAATGCATCTTTGGAGGTCGCTGCAAACTAGCTCGAGTCATCACTATTCAGGAGCCCCTCTCGCCAGGTTTCGGCAAAGGAGGGCACTGCTCAAATGCACGAAAGCGACACATAGCCCCAACAGCAATTTTTATTGTAGTAACAATGCATCACATATCTGGCAAAGGCTACTTTTTTAAGTATCCGTTTCCGTTGTAGTAGCTGGCGGTGAGCTGCTCATACCAAACTTGGTACCTCAACAACAGCACACAAATCAGGACGGGACATGAAGAGAAGCTGAGAAAGTTCTGCAAGTCATAAAACTCTCGCACGAGCACAGCAAGCGACTTTTGCCCGGATTTTGCGCGGCAAGCCCGGAAGCATGCGGCGGACACAGGAGGCAATCGAACCACCTCGTGGTCGTGCATAGGGCCATATGATCTTCCGAGTAAAGAGACCCGGGCCGCAGAACACGCGAGAAGCTATGACCTTCCATGCCACAACGAGCATCAAGCTGCAAAGGCTTGATTACATAGCCAAAGTGAGGGGCAGTCACTACAAGCATTGTCAGCCACCATTTGCCATCTGACACACATGGCCGTCGCCGCTGACGCCTGCGACGGAGTATGTCCCTTCACATGCTCCAGTGACTGCCGCCAGCATGGATGCGACCTTCTGCAACGAAAGCATGTCGTTGCGCAGTCCACTCCAGGTTCGTCCACTTCGGGGATGGACGCTGCGAGGACCAGACCTTCTGCACGCAGCCACTTTCATCTGACTGGTCTTTTCAATGCAGTGCCCCTTGGTTGAGGACACACCTGGCCGCCACGGCTGGTCCATCAGGTGCTGAGGAGCTTTTCTGCTGTCATCCCGTCTCGTCCGGAGAGGGCTCGGCAGCATGGTCGCTCGTGTGCTGCAGGGACGTGTCCCCGTACTTGCAGTCCAAGAGAATGTCCAAGGCAGCCTAGCGCTGTTGCATTCACCCTTCAGGCCTGCTTCGGGCTCCCTTCCAGCCCCCTTCGGGCCTTCGGGCTGGACCAGCCCACCTCCTCCAGTGCGAGCTCGGCCTGCCTTCGGCCTGAGAGCTTTTCGTCTTTGGGCAAACCCGTCTCGTCCCAAGACTCGGCCAAGAAACTGAAGCCTTCCTTCTGCAGGAGCTCGATCATCTCATTCTCGCGAGACACACCAGGCCTAAAGCTTCCATGAACCGGAGTCTATCGTCCTTGAACTTGCAGGAACTGGGGTCTGTACGCCTCATCAAAGAAGCTCCTAACATTCACAGCAGCTGAGAGATGCTGAGAGTGACGCTTCTGACAGTTGGTCTCCGGCCTCTTTCCGTAGATGTCACTTCCAGCATCAGGTGCCATCGATGGCAAGCAACCGCCATGCAGCTTCGAGGGCGTACCATCCTGTGCCACCAAAAAACTGCCACAAACATCAGCAGAAGCGAAACGACTCCCGGCCTCCTGGTTCTCTGACTCGGCCACTTTGGCATACACGGCGGTCTTGGTCTGAGAGGAGCTTTCCCTCATTGCCTTGAAGACCACCGTGACCTCAGCCGAAGCTAAGGCCCTCAGAAAGCACAACCTCGCGAAAGCCCTCATGACAGTGCCACTGTCCAAGCGGCTGTCAAGCCCAGCAGAATGGTGGAGAAGCCTTCGAGTACTGCATCGTGGCATATGGCAAAGGCTCTCCAATGTGTGATTGCTTCAGCTAGCCTCCACATGCATCCACCCCCTACACCTGTGCCTGCGAAGCTTGTCCACGACAGCCTCTCCTCTGGAAAGAAAAGGCCCTGCCACACGAGCGCGAAGACCGGGCAGAGACTCTGCCGCACCAAAGAAGCGGTAGCTGATTTCTCCTCGCAACAGATGGGCAGCAGAATCCGCAGGAACTGCAACCGCTCCAATCACAGCATCGCTAGCCGTCCTTTTGCATTCCGATGGTCATGGCGCATTGCGAGCTGAAGCCCACCGCTCCAATTACGAGTACCAACAGCAGCTGCTTCATGCTGACCATCCTCCGACTGTTGCCGAAGCTTATTGGCCTTTCTATGAGTTCTACAAATAAAGTATCGTTCTGCGCTGTCCCCATTCTTCCTGGTCGGTGCTGCTATAACTGGTCTGCCTTCAGTCTTCCTCGTATGTCTACCATCAGAGTTATCATTTACATGTGAACAGCAGCAATGGGATGGATGATCGCAGCAGTAGAGGTAACAGCAGAAGCAGCCTCTAGCAGTCACAGTTGCACTGGCAGCAGTTGGAGAGTGGTAGAATAGCCGCACATACACGAGGCGGGAGTACGAATGGCTGGGCAAGCGAGTCGCATCCTGAACCGAATTGAGCGAACGGATGGCCTGGACACACCAGGACTGTGGCGAAGGGGAGCCCACGAGTTCCAGACACAAGCATGGATTCTATAAATCACAATGCCCGCGATGTCCCTGCAGCAGGGCCCAGAGAAACTTTCAGCGAGAACGCAGTTTTAGTCAAATGCACAGCTACAGTAGTCGAAGCATTGAACTCCTCGCACAAACAGCAAGCTAATCAGCATAAACCGAACGTGAGAACTCATAGTGCTGCTACCCCGTTTAGGGATAATGTTGAGTGAGACAATACCAACTGTTCACCATATCCTCAAGCTATCGAAAGAAACACCACTGGAATCGCATTTGCCGTCCTGACATGCTGCCCTGCTGCGACAAGACAAACAGGCGAGAATGTCATCTGCCCCAAGGCTTGCACCAACAGCACAACAGTCCAATCCACCTGGCAGAGGCCAAAGCAGCACATGAACAACTCAGGCAACGCTCACGTAGAATCTGGCCTTCACAGTACCCAAGAATCGGATGATGACATAAGCACCTGACTCTGAAAAGATGTCTGGTGCTCTCATGGTTGCGACTTCCCGATCGCCTCCACCACAAAGAGCGCTCAGAAGACCAAACAGAAGGCCAAACAGTCGGCCATGCTGCTCATCGCCGTGAGCCCCACGACCAAACCTGTGGGCAGTAGATTCCTTCACATGCACTCCGCAATGTCATTTTTGACACTAAAACCTCCAACTGTCTTCTGTAAAGCCGAGCGTCAATGGTTCTGGCTTCGAAATGAAAACGACCCCTATGATACCAGTCACTGCGCTGAAAAATTCAGAGACATGCCATGCTTCTCCAAGGAAGACTCGAGCGAATGCCGCTGCGAAGATGGGCGCCGTTTGCGACACGATCTGCGAATCTGCTAGCGGTAGAAGTGAAATCGCCAGGAAGCCGAAGGCCACACCACCATAACCCACCACGGCTCTTGCCAGCAATGCCTTCTTTTCCTGTGCTGAAACACCTAACCAGGTAGATATTGGACGGGCCTTCAGCAACAGAACCAGGCAACATCCAAGAGCCTGACAGCAGCCTCTCACCTCGGATGCAACATGGCTTGGAAGGCGAAGAGTCTCTCTGTGGTACTGGCAGGTGATGCATCATACGCTGCCACGTCTGCATGCTGCGCTGACACCTCAACGATCTGGAAGGTCTCCAGACCCACAAGGGTCAGCTCCCTGACTAAGAGAGCTTGGATCGAGAAGCCCAGAGCCGAAAGCGCGATGAGCCCCAGCGGAACCCATCCTGATATGTCTGAAGCACTGGCAAAATTCCCCAAAGCAGACATGTCAACTGCTTCTCACAGTTGGAGGGAAGGCTCTGCCACTGCTTCCGGGTATGGGCTGCTTCTTGTGGTGGACAGGTGTTTCTGCCTGCTCCTTTTCATGCTCCGGCGTTTGAAGAGCGTGAGCACCCAGCTCGGGGCCGTGAGGCACGGAACGATGACCGCAAGCCATTGCCACCCTACATTGACATATTCAGGCGACTCAAACAATCTGCTGAAGGTCGTGAGAGTAGACTTCCGTGTCCGTGGCATATTTGTATCCCCATAAGTGACGTTTGATGGTCCAAGCTGTATCCACAAGCCATTGCTCCAAGCTGGCTCCGCTCAGAACTGTGCCTGACCGCAACTCTATTAAGAGATGATTGACAGTATCTTGGGCACTTCTCCAGCTCCGAACGTAGTTGTGCATTTTCTGCCCGAAGAAGCCTTTGCCAATCGGCACGATCATTGAATGAATCGATCAAGGATCAGCATCATCAGCCTGTTCTCGGAAAAGAGATCGTCGTATGCCAAGCCCCGATCCTGTGAACGTTACAAATGGTCCGACTTAGGCTGGGCTAGGAAGAATGCTAGCTCTCTCTGCCTCCCCCGCATCGGTTGCACTCACTGCCACACATGGCGTGTCCTCCAGGGATTTCGGCATGGAACATACTTCATAACACTCATAAGACCAGCAAGACTTTCTGCACAGGGTCCTCTGGGCAGTAGGTCGAAAGGCTTTTCACGCTCAGGTCGCTTTGCCGGCGCCAACTGCGCTCCTTCTCCTTGCCTTGGGGTCCAGAAATGGCGCGAAAACGCGGAACTCTCGCGTTTTTTGTGGCTCCGACCTGGCTCTCGCTCCCGAAACTCGCGAGACTCTCGAGGTTGCAGACCGGGCCCATCGGAGAAAGCCTTATAGAAACACGACTCTTTCTCCGCGCTTTCGTGAGAGCTTCTCTGCAAGCTAGGGCTAGGGGCCCTCTGCGGAATGCGCAGAGCAGGCGCTTTCGACGGCGTGTCCTCACTCCAGAGTCAGACAATGTTTCCGTAGTTCATGCCTGCGCTCTGGAAGTATGAGGTACGCTGAGTAGACGTCTCCAAGGCAAATCGACGATGGTCCGCCACCTTAACATGGTAGGGAGAGGTCATAGGAGGAACATGGACGAATCAAGCCATCATGAAGGTGTTGCAAGTTTCGAAGCTTGAGCTCCAGACCCGAAGATCTGCCTGAATGTACGCAGGGGAGACATTTATAGGCTTGGGTGGGCAGGGTTCAGGGGTGCTTCGGCGGTCTGTTCTAAGAGGGTTTGGGGCTTACGGTTTGCAGGACTTCAAGACTTAGGAACACTTAAGAGTTGCGCCTGCGCCAGATCTGCGCATGACACCATCCATCTCTGGAGATCTGCTGCGTGCGGATGCAATGCCTAAGTTGCATCGACATATCCAGCAATTAAAGTGGAACGGTGCGTCTGCAACACCCGAGAATACCCGAGTTTTCGCAGTCAGGTCCGTGCAGTCATGGGGAGATTCTGCGCGATTCCAGGCATCTGAGCGAGTCTTTGTGCTTTAATCAATGTTTCTGCCAAACGCTCAGACTATCGCTGGCCTCTGCCTCTGCCATCGCCCCGAGGGCTATGTGCACAGGGATTTGCCTTCGGTTGCCGTCGCCATGCGGAGAAGCATCCATGTCTGCCTTGTGGAGATCGGCCTCTTCTCGAGCAAAGATATCTGCCTCAGAGCATCAGAAGAACTCGCCACCACCGGGGAGCGTACCTTCGCGACGCAGTCCAAGGCGGCTGCAGGCCAAGCCGGTGAGCACGGCTTTGGTGCTTCTTTCGCCTTCGGCCAAGGAAAAGGGCGATGCCCTCAGCGCTTGCGGTCCTGGGCCCGGGCCTCTCTCCGTGGAGACACACAGGCACTCGTGGTACTCGATGTGCGTCGCGAGCCCGGGCCTTGGCCTCAGCGCACAATGCAGCCAACGGCCAAGGAAATCTCAACTTCTAGAAACTGCGAAAATTAGGGCGGCACCACGTGGCGAGTTCCGGGACGATACCTGAGAGGCTGTGCTCCCACCTGCGAGGACGTGGGCAAAGCGCAGAAAGAGCTGCGACAGGTACGACATAAGACAGGCCAGGCAAACGGTCTCTCGCTGCAGAAGCCTTAGGACGGGCCTCGTTTCGAGACGTGGG